ATGGTCAAATGTTAACTGAGATCGTTGCTGCCTAAATTAGTGCACACATGGCCTTTCGAGTATACAAAGTGCATCATGAGTAGCACTGACAGCTTTCCCATCCATAAGGATCAGAACACAGGTCCAGATTAATTGGCATCCTTATACACATCATTAGACGGTTGCAGCAGTTTTTCTTTCACCAGAAATAAAAGTTCTCAATCATGCATTTTCAAAGTAACAGTTCAGTAAACAGCAGCCAGATTTGGCTTATTGAGGGAGTCAACTGAAAAAAATCTTGTATAAAATACCTGCAAGAAATACATAATTTTCATTTATTTTTGAAATACAGCTACACGTGTGTTAATGGCTACAAGAACCTACATCGATGCTTGGAACAGCTTTCTTACTGCTGTCACCTTCCCCAGTCCTTGCCCCATCTCCCCACGCTCTATTACATGCATAAACAAAAGTGCTTCAACCTGTTAAGTTTGAGTAAATTATCAATTCATCTGTAGAAAGCTGCTAATATATGATTCAGATGCAGTCTTGATTTTTTATCCCCAACAAAAAATCTATTTCCAGATGCTCACTTTCATTTCTAATGAGTTAAAATATGACTTCCTGGTTATACAGTTATCTTGGACAGCAGAATGAGCTGTTCACACATTTTACTCTTAATACTTGCATTGGAAATGATATGGCATCTCACTAATACACCCCATGATCTATCTGGCTGATAGAGAAATAAAACTTTGACAGATTAAATATCTTTATAATCAAAACTTCGAATTACATTTTTAAAAATGCAATTGACAGTAAAAATGACAATATTTTAAAAACTGTTTATTGTACCCTGTGCTTTATACAAATCAGCATGTTCAAACAGTTGTACCTACAGACTATTTGCTTTATGTGTAAAAAGTATCATATCCTGTTACCACCAGTACAAAACTGAATTTTAAATTGGAGATCAATTGTTGCAGTCAAATGCCTTAGGAGTAAACTCCCCACTTTGACATGCTATCTCTCAGGCTGAGTTACACATCCACTACAAAATAAATGTGGCAAAATGCAACTTTTTAATGTGAACATAGGAGATATGGTTAGTGAGTTTGGAGATGACACCAAAATTGGAGGTGAAGTGGATGGTGAAGAAGGTTACCTCAGAGTACAACTGGATCTTGATCAGATGGGCCAATGGGCCGAGGAATGGCAGATGGAGTTTAATTTAGATAAATGGGAAGTGCCGCATTTTGGAAAAGCAGATCAGGGCAGGGCTTACACACTTAATGGTAAGGTTGTGGGGAGTATTGCTGAACAAAGAGATTCCTTGGAGTGCAGGTTCATAGTCCCATGAAAGTGAAGTCACAGGTAGATAGGATAGTGAAGAAGGTGTTTGGTATGCTTGCCTTTATTGGTCAGTGCATTGAGTATAGGAGTTGGGAGGTCATGTTGCGGCTGTACAGGACATTGGTTAGGCCACTATTGGAATACTGCATGCAATTCTAGTCTCCCTGCCATAAGAAGGATGTTGTGAAACTTGGAAGGGTTGAGAAAAGATTTACAAGAATGTTGCCAGGGTTGGAAGGTTTGAAATGTGGGGAGAGGCTAAATAGACTGGGACTATTTTCCGCGGAGCGTTGGATGCTGAGGGGTGACCTTATAGAGGTTTATAAAATCATGAGGGGCATTGATATGGTAAATAGACAAGGTCTTTTCCCCAGGGTGAGGGAGTCCAAAACTAGAGGATATAAGTTTAAGGTGAGAGAGGTAAGAGTTAAAAGAGACCTAAGAGGTAATTTTTTCACCCAGAGGGTGGTGCGTCTATGGAATGAGCTGCCAGAGAAGTGGTGGAGGCAAATACAATTATATTATTTAAAAGGCATCTGAATGGATATAGGAATAGTAATGTTTTAGAGGGATATGGGCCAAATACTGGCAAATGGGACTAGATTTATTTAGGATATCTGGTCGGCATTGACGAGTTGGACCATGCTGTACATCTCTACGACTCTATGCTCCTGTTACATAAACCCAACTTCACAAGGTAGTTTTTGTCAGAGTTAAACTACAGAATTGTCATGTTGTAAATAGTACTTTGGACTAAAGACAGTATTTACCCTGTAATTGTGCCCAACCTAACTCTGCAGACATCCATCCTTAACTGCTCTATGTTTCTACATATCATAAAGAGCTCAAATGAGAAAAAGAAGTTGGAAAAGTTCGGTTACATGAAGCAACTGATAATACTCCAGGTATACCATTGGTGTTGCCTTCAGTTAAAGCTAAATGAGTGTGTTAAGACAGCATGGAAACCGCAAATTGCACAATGGCGCATCTCTAAAATTTACAGTATACCTTAGAGTACATGGTAACTCCAAAATCACTTACAGAGGAGTACCAAAGGACAGAAAGCCAAACACTGGTGCTAACTTTATTTGCTTCATTGACTGACAGTATGGACAGACCTAAAATCAAAGTGTGCATTCATCATCCCATTCTCAACCTATTCTCACCCACAGCCATATTGAGTAGTATCTTCTGAAAGATGATCCTTGTACCCCCATCTGGCAGCAGCCCCATTATAATTTGTACATCAAAACCCTACAATGTCAATTCAGACATGACAGCATTGCAGAGTGTGAAAGGAGATGTAGTGTGCAATGCTGGACATACCAAAATCAAACAGCAATAGGAACCTGTATTTAAAGGGACACTCACAACACAGCTAAGTGATTCCACAACTAACAGAGCAGGCCTAAAATTTGAAGCCCTACCATACACAGTGATTAATGGTGGAACAGCTAAGCAATTATCAAGAGGTGAAGATGCCTTGATCACCACACTGGTGATGGCAGAACTCAGCAAATGAGTGCAAATGACAGGGCTGAACCACATGCAACAATTTTCAGCCAAATTTCAATTGAATTATCTTTTCAGTCTTCTCACAAGTCCCCCACCATTGCAGATGCCAATTTTCAGTCAAATTGTTTCACTTCATCTGATATCAAGAAATGGATGAGCACACTGGATACAAGCAAAACTATGCATTCCAATAATGTCCCACATGCTGTGCTGAAGATCATGCTCCAGAATTGGCTGTCTCTCTAGCCAGACAGTTGGCAAGATGTCACCAAACAGTTTCAGCTAAGACTGACATCTATAAGATAATGTAATACAACCTTCAAACGTGAACTCTCAATCACCAGCAAAGTAATGGAAAGTCAACAAAAGGCCTGCAATGCAACATTTAATCACCCATAGGCTGCTTACTGTTGCTCAGTTTGGGTTCTGCCAGAGCTACTCAACTCCAGGCTTCAGTACAGCCTTCCTCCAACATGGGAAACAAATAATGCTAAAGGTGAGTTGAGCATAACTGTCCTGACATCAAGGCAATGCTCAAACTAATTGTGCCTCCGAAAAGTCTGTTGTTAACCCAAAGTCAATGGGAATCATGGAACCCACCCACTGCCTGGAGTCTTACCCAATATAAAGGAAAATGAGTTATAAATTTGGGAGGTCAATCAGCTTTAGAAGTTCCCCTTTTTAATCAACTTGTTCAGATGTGTTATAACAACACACCTGCAGAGCAGGTTGGACTTGAACCCTGGCATCCTGGCCCAGAGGCAGGGACACCAGCACTGTATCGCAAGAGTCTAAGTTCCTCAGGATAGATATTTTCTGAATTGACCTGTTCAGAGTAGGTGGAATGTGAATCCAGGTCTGCTGATTCAGGGATAGGGACAGTACCACTGCACCACAAAAGCTCTAGCTCCTTAGGGCAAATATTTTTAATCAATCTGAGCAGATATGCTATGGCACAGCTCTGTAGCATGTGGGACTTCAGCCCAAGCCCCCTCTGGGCTTGGAGATAGAGTCATTACCATTGCACAAGAACTCTAGCTTCTTAGGGTAGTGTCCTTTGTTGAATCATCTTCAGCTACTTTATCAATTACCTTCCCTTCATCATAAGCTCAGAAGTAGGAATGTTTGCTGATGATTGCACAATGTTCAGCACCATTAGCAATTCCTCAAATAATGAAGCAATTCATGTTTGCCTGCTGCAAGACCAAACTAAAATTGAGGCTTGGGCTGATAAGTGGCAAGGTATATTTGTACAGACAGGTGGCAGGCAATTGCCATTTCCAACAAGAAACAATCAAGCCATCCTCATGTGACAGCCAATGGTATCAACATTGCTGAATACATCAACTCCTGTGAGGTAACCATTAACCAAAAACTGAACTAGGCCAGACAAATAAATCTTGGTACAACAGCAGGTCAGAGGCTGGGAAGTCTGTTGCAAGTAACTCACTTCCTGATTCCCCACCATCCACAGGACATGGGGGCAGATGTATCATGAAAGACTCTCCACCTGCCTGGATGAGTGCAACTCCAACAACACTCAAAAATCTCAACTCTATTCATATCAATGCAGTCTACTTGATTGGCAAACCCTCCACCTTAAACATCACCTTCCTCTATTGTATTTATCACTTATAAAATGCACAGCAACTTGTTACTTCTAAATCCACAGCCTCTACTGCTGAGGGGAAAGGGCAGGGCAGCAGGCAGATGGAAACACCACCATCCATGAGGTCCCCTCCAAGTCACATTTCCTGACTTAAAAATAGATCACCTTTCCTTTATTCTTGCTGGTCACAATTCTAGAAATCTATACCTAACAGTACTGTAGAAGTATTTTCACCACATTGAGTGCAATGAGATAAGGATAGTAAGAAAATAAATAAGTATAGCACATTTTATGGCCTCCCAAAGGTTTTTGAAATTAATATAGTTTTGAAGTGTTATGTAGGGAAACACTGTAGCGACAAAAGAACACAAAATTGCAGAAATATCAACTTGAAAAATGACCTCATAAATTGCTTTGGTGTTCAAACAGATCTATGGGATCTTGTATGCTCATGTCAGGGACAGATGGGGAACACTTTTTTTTCTGATCTTCTGTTCTTATTGAGAAACACATTGCTGTTTGTGTGCACTGGCCACAGTCGCGACAACAGCCTTAAAACTGATTAGCTACAAAACGCTCTGAAATGGCCGGATGCTGTGCACGGTTCCACAAAAAGTCTCATTCGAAGACGTAACTTGTCAACTGTCTGAGACAAGCATTGGATAAAAATAGAAGGTAACATTTCCCGACATTAAAAAAGCAAAACACCGCGGATGCTGGAAATCTGAAGCAAACACAAAGAAAGCCGCAGAAACTCAGCAGCTGTCGATTCTGAGGAACTAAGTGAATGTTTCCGGTCCATTGTGACTCTTCTTCGGAACTGTCTGTACGTGCATAGATTTGAATGGGATAATTCACTGCCGCTGGAATACAATCGCATCAAACCACGTGCGATCAGTGAACCCTCAGATACTGACGTTCCGGCCTCTGCTTGTGTGTAAAGCCGGCAGCGGATTGGACAGCTCGGCTCTGGGGTCTTTCTGAAGTGAGTGGCGCGGTGTTTATGACGCGGCTGGGATGTTGTGTCGCTGTCGGTGGTTGAGTGTGGACCAGGCGGCGGTGGAGCGTTCCTATCGATTCCGGCTAACGGTAGGTTATTACAGGGGCAGCCCTCAACATCTATCCACCTGCTCGGGTGGGCCTATTGTTAGAATAATTTACTACGCATATTACAGCCACTAAAGTGGTGTGGTTTTCTTTTCCTTGAAAGCGTGTAACATTCTATTTTAAGTATTACTTGAGCTTGTAATAGAGGGGGAGATTTCTGCTCGTGTATATTGTCGTGTTACCAGTTAAAATAATCGTTTCTCACTGTTGTCAGCCAGGGCTCCGTTAATGGCGCACTTACTTCTCACAGTCAGAGGATTGTGAGTTCAGTCCATTGTCGGACTTCAACAAATAAATCTCGACTACAGGATAGTGCGAGACAACAAGGTGCAGGGCTGGATGAACACAGCAGGCCAAGCAGCATCATAGGAGCAGAGAGGCTGACGTTTCGGGCCTAGACCCTTCATCAGAAAAGGGGGAGGGGAAGGGGGTTTTGAAATAAATAGGGAGAGAGTGAGAGGCGGATAGAAGAGGGATAGAGGAGAGGATAGGTGGAGAGGAAACAAACAGGTCGAAGAGGCGGGGATGGGGCCAGGAAAGGTGAGTGTAGGTAGGGAGTTAGGAAGGGGATAGGTCAGTCCAGGGAGGACGGACAGGTCAAGGGGGCGGGATGAGGTTGGTCGGTAGGAGACAGGATAGTGCGACATTTCGAGTGCATCACTGTCTGCACTGCTGCCTTTCAAACCAGGTATTAACCTGAGAATGCTGCTGCCCTCTGAATTGATTGGGTACCTTGACAAATATTTACCTCCCAGTCAAGGTTACCTAGACGTTAGCGGAATAGAAGTGTCCCGACCCGAAACGTCAATTTTCCTGCTCCTCTGATGCTGCCTGGCCTGCTGTGTTCCTCCAGCTCCACACTGTTATCAGAACACTGGAGGTTTGTACTGCACAAATTGGCTACTGTATTTCCAACATAGCTAGTCTTCAGAAGTATGTGGTTAGCGTAAGAGTGCATTCCATCTTATTCCAAATGGGACAAAAACAAAGTTGCTGGGAAAGCTCAGCAGGTCTGGCAGCCTCTGTGAAGGAGAAAACTGAGTTAACATTTCGGGTCCGGTGACCTTTCTGAGGAAAGGTCAC